TGACAATTTAGAGACTTTCGGGTTTGAATTTGGTGAAACGGACCTCAAAAACGGATTCGGGACGTCGAAAACTGTCAGGATATGTATACTCGAAAAAGATTAACGGTCGTTTAATAGCTCGTCAAAGCCGATCAAAGGAGGTCAACAAACTGTCAACCATTTTACAGAAATAACACTTTTTTTAAATAATTACTAAAATAGCACATGTTTTGAATTAATTACTAAAATAGCACATGTTTTGAATTAATTACTAAAATAGCACCATTTCGAATTAATTACTAAAATAACACCTATTTCGAATTAATTACTAAAATAACACCAGGACAACGGTCAACGGTCAGGTCAACGGTCGGGTCAGGTCGGTCAACGGGGACCAAGGATGACAGTGGGGGCGCATACGGCGTCTATAAGCGTCGAAAAATTTACAGAAAATTTTCTAAAATTTATTTTGAGCGATTTCGAGATACTTACAAAGCTCGGTTCAAATTTTTGAACGGCGAAGAGCTCGATTTCAGCAAACCGAAAACTTTGACCGCTTCACCTCCACACGCACCGCTGTCGAAGGAGACCAAGGATGACACCGGTGGACTCGGAACGGCACAAGGAACACGATGGTGTGGGACGATCAACGATGAATATAGGATTTTCTCGGCGATGGTGCTAAAAAAATGTCAAGGCTTTGACTTGAAATTCACGGCGTTTGGCAGCGTTTCGCTTCAATTAATTTAAGGGTCGCTCGATGACGAACATGATGGTGATTTCAAAACGACGATCGGAGGTCGGACGGCATCGGAATCGTATTTGGAAAGAGAGGCTTTTTGGAAGGAAAAGTTAAATTTCATTCTGATTTCAAAATGAATGAAACACATACAATATGTTTCTGCCGACACTCCAGGAGTAAATTCAGGGTTTGATCCCTGAATTTTCTTTAACTCTAAAATATGCTACAAGTTTTAAAAACTTCCAATTTAATCCCTAAAATTTATCAATTTTCACAATTAAAACCTCAAATTTCAATTAAATATTATTTTTAAAATTTCGGGTTGTTACAGTACACTTCGTGCATCACCCCTTGGCATTGATCGGGTCCTAGGAACTTCCCAATTATCATTATCCATTCCAGGCATTCTACGAGTTTTCTGGCATTCCAAGCATCAAACCTCCATTACCAGGTCGTGTGACGGGGAAACCCCCAGGACCAGGGCTTTCAAGACCAGAAGAAACAACACGACTATTTCTAATACTTGCAGTAGCACCTAGACGCAACCCAAGATTCTTTTCAGCCTTAGAATGGATTTCAGTAATTGTTTTTTCTTTCAACTCCAGCAATCCATACCAAAACAAAAGTAGTTCTCAATATTAAAACCACTGACATGGACATGCCAACATCATCTATCTAATCTAACCCAGAAAAATTTGATGGAATTTATGAGTTACCTCCTCTCGTCTGGGAACCCATTTATTTGCCCGAAGATCATGAACATCACGAACCATAAGCCTTAATCTTGGAGCAAGCTGAGGATTTGTTGTCAATTCTTTCAATCTGCTGAAGTACTTATCATTTATGTGTCGTGATTTGGGGCTCTCATCAAGTTGCTTACCAATAGTGTTGAAGAACTGACAAATGGCTTCAACATTCCCCTCTGCAGGGAAAGCTGTATTGTCAGGGCCCAAAAGCTCTTGTTTGAGACGAAGGAAAGAAAACGATTTAGCGTAACTTGCTAAAATTCCATGTTCCATGGAAGAGAAAAAAGTAATGCCAATATAACCTGCACAATGTGATGGACTATTTTCTCGGGTACCATTTTTTGCTTCAGAAGCTCACCAATTAAGCGAATATTTCCTAGAGTGCGGAGCTTGACCATCCTTTCTTTATCCCTACACTCCATTTCTTACTCAAGGGCAGTCATCAGCCGCACTTCTTCCCTGAGCTTGTCAGCTCCCTCAAATGCCACCTGGCAATTATTCAGGAGGACTCGCTTAAATGTGATATCTTTTCCACCAGGTTCATCTGATGGAAATGAGGGAAGCTTGTCATTAAGATCAAAACATAAGAGAGCATACATAGGACAAAACGTGGGTTCCAGCACAGCCTTCTCAAATATTAGAGAAATAACTCCCTGTAAAGACGGCATAGACACCATCATTGATTTCTTCTTATAATCTGCAGTAACTACAAAAGAACACATTATACATGAAATGTAGATGTGTGTGGGTATATATATGTTACACACACATAAAAATGCCTAAAGAAAAAGGTCTGGTAATAATTAATATTTAAAAAAAAAGAAATGAATAAATAATAACCTTTAAGATTTCCGCTGATGTGATACCGGAATCAATAAGTTGGCCTTTTAGAAGATCATACTTCTCAGGAGTCGGCTTGTTCAATATCCTGCACAGAAAACTAAGGAAAGGATCCTATCATGCATGAAAAAATGAAACCACTTGACCAGTTTACAGAAAAGGAAGTCATGGCTAGAAAGGGAATCAGATGATAAATTTCCATCTGTGACCACCATTAATTTTGTCGCCATGAAAGCATCTGATATTCAACTGCTTATGAAACTGATAGTTCCAATACCGACCATATCAAAATGACATTAAACTCCAAGAATTTGGTAGACCTTGATAAATTTCCATGTTCTGATCTAAAACCAGATCCTGAATAACATCAACAAGGGAAAGGTCCTTTTTTTTTGTTTGTTTGAGAATAGATATCAGAAAGACACATATGATTAGAAACCTAAACATCATAGAAAAATCTGATTTACTGTTTGTTGATAAATATCAGAGACACATATATGATGCAAGCAACATAATTCTAATATATTTACCCTTTAACAGATTTTAGAATACGGTCTATCTCATAAAGATTCCCCCTTCTAGCCGACCATGGCACCTCAGCCTTGACCAAAGCTGGAGTAGGTCCTCCCTGTGAACAACAAAGGAAACCCAATGTTAATGCCAAAGCCAAATGAAATTCAAAGCTAGCTTCAGGGATAAACAGGAATAAATACAAAGCTAATATTAAGAAACCATCAATTACAGAGTTACTTGTATGTTATCATGGAAAAATAATCACTGACAACTTATATGCTTCCTTACTAAATACAATGGAATCTAATGCAGGTGAGCAGCTAAATAAATAAAATAACAATCCTAAATGAAAGGTTACAGACACTATTGAACCATTCATCACTACTTATCAAGCAAATTTAAAGAAAATTCAGAAAAATCATTATGTGTGCAACTTATTGAACCATTGCTCTCTGATTGATATATGTACTTAAAGGTTGAAACCTTAAGTGAAGTGGAACTATAGATTACAGCAATAACACCTAATCAAAGTTCATCTCTAGGAATTTTGTTGACTGAGGAATATGTTTCAAACACTCACCCAGCAACTAAAGGAATACAATAAATGGTCGAAAACCTGGGAAGCCTTAAATAGACAAAAAGGGAGTGAATCATTTTATGCTACCCCTTGGTTAGAAGAGATTTTTGCCCTTGAGAACTGAGAGTTAGATTGATCATGGCGATTAAATTTATTAGCTTCTGGCTGTCTGGAGTCGAAATGATTTCACAGATCTCTATCTCGAAGAGATTCCCAGGACTTCTCCTCTCCAGCAGGAGGTAACTTTGTTGAACGGTTAAACCAATCACGGTTGTCAGGCTCAGAGTAACGCTTCTGATTATAGTTTGGTGGCTGTCAAAAGTACAGAGAATGCAACAACAAGTGTTAACAAAGGATGACTGCTTGACAAAATTTATTTGAAAATACAATAGCTTCGTCAAAGCAGCTAATTCCTATTAAGATATTAAAAAAGAAAAAGAACAGTTAGAGCGTACATTGCTTTCACCACGAACCCAATTTTGATCTTCACCAAAGATTTCCACTTCAATATCTCGTTTGATTTTAAGAATCTCTTCAGAAACTTCTACAGCCTAAAGATAAGGCAAGAAGCATAATCAGATATAGAATCAAAAGATAATCAAAGTGCTATTATTTGATTTCAACACAATAAATATGAAATAAATTATGAACATTGAACTACTTATTTGGATGATTGACACAATAATTGAAACAGAATGCTAACAACATTGAACAACTTGCATGCAAATAAAAAGCACAGATTTGCTATTTCCTGGATTGTTTTGGAAAAACGTAACAACAGTTTGCTGATGCAGAGATGAAACATACTACTAAGCAAAAGTTTTGTACAATTACCTCCCTCAGCTGTAAAAGCTGGTCCCTAGCATACCGCACACATTCATAGCCCTCAAATCGTGAGTCTCCAGCCTACAACAGTAAGGAAATTGAGAACTTGAGATTCTACAACCCATTTTTTTTCAATATGCAGCATGTTGACATTAGATAATCGATCTAAAGAATAAAACAATCAACAGGAAATGCGAATTATGAGGCACATTTTTAACTTGGTTATAAAAAAAATTTAGCATACTTATCTAACATAAACAAAAGCATAAGCTAAACAAATTACACCAATGAACAGAGAATCAGATAGTTGAAATCTAAATGTTTTGTATCATAAGGATGGTATCACAAGACCCAACCTTCTGCACTCCACAAACCTCAATGTGACTTAGTTAAAAGACTATATGCTTAAAAAAGTTAAACTACTATTCTTTCTCAATTAGGAAGATCAAAAAGTAAATAACTGGAATATATATAACTGTAAATTATTATCTTACAGACGAGAAGTAGAGTTTAGAAACTCCATAAGTGTTTAACTGATTGTCACGTGTCCTTTTAAGCAATCATGTTCTCTTAATACCGTGCTGTTAACTTCCTATATATATTTAAAACAGACAAGTGACAATCGATTAAACCAACAAAGATGATTATATATACACATGTAGACGTATAATCCTCAGCTGGTCCGTAGCAAACCAGTCAAGTTGATTAAATATGATCCGTATGACCCACAATTAGGACAAATTATTTGATTTATTAAATGGAACACCTCAACTAGTTTAAAACGATGTAAGCTCCTTTTTGTAATCAGAAACTCATATAATATCCGCCTAAAGCCAACATATTTTTCTTTGTCCATGTTTACAGCAAGTACACATAAAAAGCGTACCCCAAAGAATTAGGACAAAGCTTATTATGTTCTTCCTCTTTAAAGAAACTACATTCTTTATTAGGTTAATACCAAGGCTGCTACTAAAGCTAAATTACACTCTTCCTTTTTTGAAGTTCTAATGCAATACCTAATCTATTTGCTTTAGTTTGACAATATGAAAGACAACTGATAAAATTTTGAGCCTTTCGGGGGGGGGGGGGGGGAAGCAATACTTATTTCAGAGATAATTAGTAGAATCGACAATAAGAATAATGCAAGCAAAACTACTTGCTAAAGATTCAATATTCAGAATAGCGATATCTAACAGCTGCAGCTCTAATCTTAAAAAAAAAAACTTACTTTAACAGCAGAACGTCTAAACAACGAATCCAATAATAAACCAAAAGGGATAGATCCAAAAAAAATTGAGTTGTGGATCTAAAAGAGAATGAATAAAAAGATTGAACCTTAAGAGAAAATGGAAGAGCAGCACCGCCATGGGCACGAAAGGCAGGAAGATCAGAAGAGAAGGAACCGAATGCTAATGAAGAAGAAGATGATGATGATGAAGGGCCACCAAAAAGTCTGTTCCCTCGACCACCACCAGGTCTCAAGCTCAACGTCTGATCACCTTGCTGCATACCAAGATCTTATCAAGTGAGATCAAATATCCGCCGCCCGATCAAAAAACCAAAATAACAAATAAACTCAGCAATATGTAAAAGCGCTGAATCTGAATCTATAAGATGCGTAGAGAAAAGGATAGAAACTGAAAGAGAAAAATGATTCGATGTCTAGAGATAGAAAGAGAGTGGAAGTGAGAGTCAATCTCTTCTGCGGGAAAGCAAAGAAGAGAAGAGAACATACGTGAAGACGGAACTAGAGAAGAAAAAACAGACCCTCCTTTTGTAGAGTTAATTTTTTTAAGTGAATTAAGTTTAATTAATAAATTTTAAAATGTTATAAAATATACAATAAAATCTTTTATTGTTATTTCATTTTCAAAAAGCTTTACTTTAATTAATTAGAATCGATTTGTATCGTACACCTGACTTTAAATTTTATATATATAAGTATTCAAACTTAATACGTTAAATTTTTTAAATAAATATAATATTTTTTAGCATTCAAACTCAATGCGTTAAATTTTTTAAATAAACATAATATTTTTTGTGTCATTTTTCATAATAAATTTTGAAATTCCACGTATAATGTAATTTGAGGGAAATTTTGCTAGAATTCTAAGTTCTAATGTATAGGCTATAGCCTACGAAACTTTTCGCTTATCTTACTTTAAATTCTTTGATTTGAATCTTTAAATCAAAAGATACAAAAAGTTTAAAATTATTTCAATTTATATATTTTTAATACGATATTATAATAATCATATCAATTAAGTTAAAAGTTAACTAATAAATTTTTAAACTTTAAATTCAAATTTAGATTTATTATAATTATTTATTAATATAAAATGTGACAGTTTTTTATGTGGTACAATGGTAACCAACGAGAATGATATTGATGAGAACAAATTTATCTCGTCGGCTATTGACGATTTACCTCTTCTAATTGTGTGGAGAATTGTGGTCGATGAAAAAATGACTATTGGTCGATGTTTGAATAAAGAATAGAATGGGTCATCAAGAAGAATTGTAACCCCCTCAGACTGATGCGGGTAACTCGATCCGATCTGGAGTGTCACATTAGGATCACTGGAGTGACCCACTGTAAAAATAGCGGAAAATTTAAAACTTTTAATAAAACATGTACTTATAAAATGATTTATCAGTATACATAACTAAAACATATTTTCAAACTCGTATATAAAACAAAATATAATTACATGTCCCCTAATCACACGTACCATACTCTGATAACAACGCCGAAAGAACTCCCTTACTGAATACGATAGTTGTACTGGTACAATTCTTTTAACATGAAAAGATGAGTAAAAGGGTGAGCTTTGGAAAGCTCAGTAATACAGAACTACCAGATTATGCTGAAGAACGTGCAGATACAAATAAACGTATTTTTCCTTATTGGTTCATACATCTATATATTTTTATGTTGATCGAATATCCTACTGATATTTTAGGTGGTAACGAAAAATGAGTTTTCAGTTTACATAAATATTTCGGATGTCTAGGTTCAGGATATCAAAATAGGTTATCTAGTGTGTTCCCATAAAACCAGTAAAAAAATACATATTTTTTAAAACATATATATATACACCCCCATCCTTTCACAATATGTTTGTGTAGGTTCCCCGGAACTATACACCCCGCACAACCAGTGAGGCCCTGAGCACACAGCCGAGAAGCCTGCAGATAATCTTCCTCCAACAATAAACCCCCCAGATAAAAAAAATTTATCCGTCGGTAAACGGAGATATCAGAAATCAAAACAGAATTCAGATCAGATATCAAAACAGAATTCAGATCAGATATCATAACAGAATTCAGATCAGATATCATAACAGAATCCATATCAGAAATCAGAACAGAATTAAAGTCGAAAATCAGATTAAATATTTATATGATTAGGGAACACACCAGAGTTTACAGATATTATTCAGAGGTACTGAATAATCTTATCGGCAGAGAAACACGGATCTTCAGTTTACTAATAGAATGTCATAATTTAGAATCACTATTGGAATAGTTTATTAACTACAGAATCATCAATTATTCAGAATATGAATTATAAGGATCATATTTTATTCGGACATTTTTCAGAAGTTGTACGTAATCAAAAGGGTATTCAGAATCCTTTACAACTATGTCGATTGATCGGATAATCGAATTCTCAGATCAAATGCTTGTCGTCTGGTCAATTCATTGTCTTTCCAGGGTATTTACTCATTAATACCACAAATTATTGTCCATTGATCATCTTTGGAATCATCGTTGAATAGATCTTAATGAAACTAACAGATATTTCAATGCTCTTTATCTCATTTCCACGCTTACACAATATCATGTAATGCTAAGGTACTTGATTATTTTGTTCATAACCCATCGTAATTGTACACTATGTAAACTCATCAGAGTTTTCAGACTTATCCAAATCACTTATTAAAATCCTCAGTCATTAAGATTACCTAGTTCATTTAGCAGTCATGTCTATTCCAATTATTTCGGGGGTTTACAGGGTAATCCAGACATTTCTAAATTTCGGATACATAATGTACTTCTGTTCAATTCAATTTGGTCTTCGTGGTCGATTTGTCTAACAAATATCAAATTCTTACTACTGAATGCGATCTAGAGTTGAGCTGAGCTGAATACTTCCAAAATTATCATCGAGCCAAACTTGAGAAGACAAACACACATTCAAGTAACATCTATGTCGTTCAGGTACTGACATATCATTAAGATTGATCAACTCACTTAAGCTATGTTCCATAACTTCTAAAGGTAGTCCAACACCTATGCTTATTTGGATTCCTTAATTAGTCCAAGAAATTAACTTAGTATAGGCCATATAGGTATTTTGGTCAGTTTGGTGTTCAATTTTATTCTATTCATTTCAGAGCTCGAGGATATCCACTCATTCCTGACCTTGGTGATATTCTTGGTCATTTCCATACCAGGGGTATTTTGGTCATTTCATAGATCCATTGTATTACAATCATTTCCTTCTATCCGATCTTATTATTAAATTCACACTTATCATTTATGTCAGTCCTATCGAACTATTCTGAGAGATCTGATGTATTTCAATCATTTCCATTCATCTTATCTTATTATTTAATTCAAACATATCATCTTTTCCAGCCCTTTTAAATAGTTATGACAAAAGAACACCCTTGATAATTTATTCTAAAATCAGAGATTTCAAGGTTAAAAGTATTTTCAGAAGTTACCTACAAGTTATCAGAAATTTTTCTGTACAAAGGCATATCTTAACCATCAAATCCATAATTTATCGAGTTAAGTACAAATCCTCAAAGTACTTTCCCATTCTGGGTCAACTCGGACTATTGTTACCTTTCCAGGGCATTTTCATAATTTCTTAACAAGATAATTTCGATATTAGCTCTTAACGAAAATAATTTTAATTTAAAGATCCTGTGGTTAATTGTTTTCCCGAACATTCTCTGATCTTGAAATGATTCCTTAACAGACTTATAGCATATTGCACAAACCCTCTTGGGGTTAAAAACCGGTTATCCGCATTTCCTAAGCAAAACTAACTTTTCTTATGCACATCAATAATTTTTACCGGATCAATATATCTTTTCAGAGTTATTAACCAACTTCCACGGACAATTCTTGTCATCTTACAACATAAGGGTATTTTTGTAATTTTACTCTACTGGAGTATTCTCATAATTTCTCATCCAAGTACCTTTAACATTTAACCTTTGATGAAATAAATTATAAGTTACTGATCCAGGTTGATTTATTTATCACTAAGCACAGAACTTGTAATTTAATTCTATCAATCCCTCAATTTCTTATAAAAGTCATCTGAACCATAATCAATTACTGAACCTTTTTCACCGTATTTAGATCGAGTGTAGAAATTAATTAACTACACAAATGAGACCAACATTATCTTAATCATGCATTTATCAATATTCACAAGTTCCATAAAGCATAAAGAGATAGTAAAGTATTACCTCGATTTCTGTACAATACTGATCGACCATTAAATTTCATTCGAACGCTCTCGATCTTGAAATCATCTTCTAGTATTTCCTCAGATCTATATCAACAGAAATTACATAAAAACGGAGCTTAATTCTAAGAAACGGATCGAATCGGATGATAAATTAGTCAAAAACATCTTACCGGGTTCGAATTTGGTGAAACAGACTTCTGATTCGGATTCAGGACATCGAAAACATAAAATATGACTTTTTGAAATTTTCAGTCAAAGTCAATGGGTTTGACTGGCAATTTCGAGGCCTTTTGGTCCGAGTTTTGAAAAACGGACTGCGGAATCAGATTTGGAACATCGAAAAACGTCAGGATAGGTATACTCAGTCAAAGTCAAAGGTCGTTTAATGCCCAATCAATGCTGGTCAACTATGGTCAACGCAATTCAACGATCAACAGTCGACCATTTTACACAAATATCACCCTAACATAAATTAATTACAAAATTAGTCACCTTCTGTAAATATTTACAAAACTAACACCCGAATTTTACACAAATAGCACACAAACAGAAATTAATTACAACCAGACCTCACTCTCATGGGTGGTGCGTGAACAGTGCTACGGTGTCGAAAAATTCCAAGAAAAATTCCTAAAAATTATTTTAAGCGATTTTGAGGCACTTACAAAGCCTGGTTCATAATTTTGAACGGCGGAGAGCTCGATTCCGAAACGTCGGAAACTTTGACGGGCTCACCCCTCCACGCGCCGGTGACGACGGAGAAACGGAGAACACCGGTGGACTCGAAACGATGCAAGGAACACGACGGTGCGGGAAGTAGGGGTGTGCAAATACCCGACCCGCCGACCCGGATCTAAAAAAACCGAGTAATTCTCTAAAAAAAAATTACCCAACCGGGTCGGGCCCGGGTCACAAAATCTAGTTTTTCCGGGTACTCGGGTACCCGGTTAGTTTTTATTTTTTTATTTTTTATATATATAATTATATAAAATATAATGAATTATTTATATTATGGATTATTATATTTTGTATTTCGAACTTTTAAATTTTATGTTCGGATATTAGAGTATGTAATTCGAAGTTTCGAATATTTAAATTTGTGTATATATTTTTTTAAATTAATAATTTGAAAATAAAAAATTAAAAACCGGGTATCGGGTACCCGATTCCTGGGTACCCGCAAAATCCGGGTACCCGATTACCGGGTACCCGTAACATCCGGGTCGGGACACGGGCCGAGAAATCGTCGACCCGGAAGTTCCGGGTACCCAAAAATCGGGTACCCGAAAATCCGGGTACCCGGATTTGCACACCCCTAGCGGGAAGTGTTGAAAACGGATTGTCGGATTATCGTGAATCAACGATAAACCAACTGAAATTGAGTTATTACCGACGATATTTCCGACTAAAATGAACGACGAACGGCGACGATTCACGACAAAAGGTTTCAGGAGTTTTGTTCCTCGATCGACAACAAACACGATGGTGGTTTCGGCTCATTGATCAAAGGTTGGACGACGAGTAGATCGGAGTTGAAAGGAGGGTTATTGGAGAGGAAAGCTGAGAAATATTTCTACTGAACATACGTGGGAGATTTATAATTCTCTCCAAAATAAAAATGGTTAAATCATGGTTTAGTCAATGAATTTCCTGAACTTTTCAAAACGGTCTGTCAACTTTTAAATTTTACAATTTAATCCACCATTTCTTTCAAAATACCAATTAAATTCAATACTTTATAATTTCTAAAATTTAGCCCCTAAATTGAGGTGTTACAAGAATAATGCGATTCAAGAATGATTGATCCTCTATTTCTAGTCTTAGTTATGGATATTTATAGTGATCTTTAGTGTAAATGTCAGTTGTAAGATCGTTATGACTCAGTTGTAGGATCGTTATGACTATTTGTTGACTAACAAGTTAAGTGATTTAATTAGTTATACATTAAATTTCGTTATGACGTATCACGTAGACTTATTAGAGATAATTATTTATGCATTTTAATTTATTAAAATTCTATATTTGGAAGACGTATATTAATTAAAGACTAATAGATGAAAAATTTTATCTGAGTACCTTAACTCGTAAAGAAATGAGAATTTCAATAAATACAACATGCCACAAATTTACAAATTTCTTGAAACTATTTTCGAAGATAAAATAATTGATTTAAAAAAAAAAAAACAATTAGGTCCCAATATTAGTGGCGGGACTTGCCATGCTTCCGTAACCTATTTGGTTTAATTGTTTCCCGATATCCTATTATTTAAAATTTGAAAATTAAATATTGTTTCCAACCTTTTCAGTTTAATTGTTTTTCAAGTCCCTAACAGATTTGAAATATTTAAAATTGAGCCTTAGGTGGTGTTTGTTTTTGCAGAGGTAAAAGGTCTACAGTCTGCGGACCACATCTGCAGGCATCTGCAGCAGAAGAGGTTGACCAAAAGTCTACAGTCTGTAAGAAGAAGACTGTTTGTTTTTTAACGTCTGCATACTGCTAAAATAAACTGAAATATAAATAAACTATTTTTTTTATTTTTTTTGGGATAATTCCATTTTCATTGCCCAAGAAAGCAGAGAAATCCTGCTACAAAGAACAGTACACTACATAATCAGCAAAATAACAATAATGAAACCAACAAGGGGAACAAAACAGAAGAACATTAGCTCATATACCCCACTTTGCACAGAGGGCAATATTCCTCGAATCAGACTTGCAAATGGACCAATTGCTGAGGCGGATCTAAATGGTATCCCGAATATCATTGAGCATATCACCTACCAACCTGGCACAATCCCCAAATAATTTGTTATTCCTCTTGCGCCATAAGCCATAGACGTGACCAGCAAGGGCGAGCTTCAGAATTCGTACAATAAGGGATTTACCCCTGAGGAGTTTAGTAGCACATTCTAACTCCCTATCCCATGTACTAACATTGCGTAAAATACCACACAAAGAGAGAACATTTCCCCACAGTTCTTTCACAAAATTGCATCAAAAAAATAGGTGACCTCGAGTCTCAGATTCAGCATCACAAAGTAAACACTTGTCAGTATCGATATTCAGACCCATTCATAGGAGTCTCGTCCGAGTAGGCAACCTGTCAAGGATGGCCATCCACAAGATGGTACTCTGCTTTGGAATACGCCCAAGAAACCAAACTGAATTATGCCAAGATACATTGGGGCCCTGAATTCACAACTCCTCCCAAATCCTCCTCGTGCTGAGACCATTTACTGCACCAACAAGTATATGTGAGACCTCAAACCTCATTTTTAAAATTCTCTTAAAACACTAACTAGCATTTTGGGGAATGCTCATCTGCCAAAAATCAAAGTCTTTAATCCATGCCACCCAAAGGGAGCCATCATTGGCCATAAGTTTCTTAATCAGAAGACCTATACAAGCCTTATTCCAGCCCCAATGTCAATAATACCCAGACCACCATCAGATTTCATAAGGCAAACTTGCCTCCAGCTTACTCGAGCACCACTAGCAGACAGATCAACTCCTTTCCAGAAGAACCGGGAACAAAGCTGCTCAATTTTCTTTATTATCGACTGAGAAAGAATTATCTGCCTACACCAATAGTTAGCTATACTAAAAAGGATAGAACGGATAAGTTGCAGTCTACCAGCAAAACTTAAGTGCCTATTAGCCCAAGAGTGCAATTTAGTTCTAATATTTTCAATCATACATTGGCAGTCTTTTACTACAATCTTTCGCGACACCAAAGGAACTCCAAGGTATCTTATTGGGAGGGACCCCAACTTAAAGCCAATAGCATCATAAAGAAAAGCACATAGTTCAGGATTCATACTAGCTGTAAACATTTCACACTTGCCAGCATTGAGCTTCAACCCCGAGAACGAGTAAAAGACATCCAACACGGACTGCACTCCCATTATAGAATCAAAAGTGCCCTTACAAAATATGAGGAGGTCATCAACAAAACAGATGTGAGTTAGGCATATCTTTATGCATTTGGGATGGAATTTGAAGACTCCCTTCAAAGCAGCAATATTCAACAAGTTGAAGAGGACATTCATTGCTAGGACAAAGAGAGAGGGTCACCCTGTCTAACACCTCTAGCACCCTTAAAAAACCCCGCAAGACTCCCATTTAACACAACTGAGTAGCTAGGATGAGTGACGCAAGCACATATCCATATCCATCCAATGAATTTTTCAGGCAACCTCATAGCATGAAGAATAAAAATAACAAACTCCCAATTCAATGAATCAAATGATTTCTGTAAATCAATTTTCAGGGCACATCTAGGGGAGTTATTTTTCCTAGCATAACCTCTAACTATCTCTTGGGCAAGCAAAGTGTTATCAACAATGCTTTTCCCTTTAACAAAATCAGTCTGGTTATTAGTAATCATGTCAAGAAAAACAGAAGACTGCCGATTTACTAAGATTTTTGCTATTGTCTTATAGATCACAGAACAACACGAAATGGGCCTAAAATCTTTGACAGTGTTCGAGTTAGGAACTTTAGGCACTAGGGTAATGGTTGTTGCATTAAGTGATGGAAGAATAAAAGAAGCATCGAAACAATACCTGATGGCAGCTTTGAAGTCCTCTCCAACAATTGGTCATGCCTTCTTAAAGAAATAAGGATTGTAACCGTCAGGACCCGGGAACTTGTTATTCCCTTGTCCCCAAATAGCATCCTTAATTTCTTTGTCAGAGACCATACTACATAAGGTATCAGCAGCCCCCTAGGCAAGGTGTAACCAAGTAAGTCTCTAATTGTAACATCCTAAGTAACGGGTTAGTGACTAAATTGTAAAAATTCAGAATTTGGTGATTAAAGTAGAATAAATATATATAGGTTAAAAATAATTGTTAGTAAATATGAAATGAATTTAAGGACAAAATGGTAATTTGCAAGGAAAAAATAATAATAATTAAAAATTTTAAGGGGTTATATTATAACCCACGTGGGGCATTAGGAGGAAACAAATGTTTCCAGAATACTCTCATCTCTTCTTCCTTCTTTCTTATCTTTACTCTTCTCTTCTTCCAAACGTGAAGACCAAGTTTAAGGTAAGAATCTGAACCTGGGTAGTTTCTTTGATTTTTAGATTGGAAATGGAAGTTTGGATGTTATATAAGCTAAAGGAAAGCTTATATGACATTAAGACAACAAGATAAGTGTTTTAGGTATAGATTTTGAAAATGAGTTTTTAGATGAAATTTTGATATGGATGAGTTTTTGAAGTTTGAATAAGATTTTTGACTTGTCAATAAGTTAATTAAGAAGTATGAGGTAATAGAATTGAAATTAAAACAAGTTGGAATTTGAGTAAGATTCTTCAATTCTATATGGATGATTAGTTTTTTTTAGTTTTAGAGGTATTGAATGGATAATAATTAGTTTAAGTAAGTGTATGAAAGCTAAGAGTATTAAAGGGAGTGAAATAGGTATGTTTGAGCTGAAATGAGATGATTTTCGAGCTCAAAATAGGATTTCTGGGCTAGGGGAATCGGTACCCATTCAAGGGGAATCGATACCCCCTCAACGTATATGAATTTCCAGAATGCTAGAGGGGAATCGATACCCCCAGGGGGGAACCGATTCCCCCATATAAAAAAAAGAAGAGAAAAGAAAGAAAGACTAAACTATTAATTCCTTAAATGGGTAGCTATTAAAGATTAATTTCAAGACATAGACATCTGATGATCATCTTGAAAATTATGTTTATGTAGATACCGAGCCTATACGAGTTCGGGAACAATCTACAAGTAGGATCGATCGAAGAGAAGGCAAAGAAATATAGGTGAGTGCATATGCATAGCATAATTATAGAAATATACTCCATTCTAGACTTGTGATAAGTCTAGATTTTATATCTTGGCACATGAGCATATTTTGTATTATGAGACATGACATGAATTCATATAAAATGCATTATATGACATGAATATGCAAGAAAAGTTATGAGCTATGTGAAAAGGTAAGAATTTACATGTCTACGCGATATAGACTACGTGAAATGTAAAAGCCCATGTTATGTAGATGAGAACTATAGGTATAGTTGGCATGCCAAGGGTAGAGGGTCTACGCGGTCCTTCGGGACAAAATTCTACGCGGTCCTTCGGGATATATATATATATATTCTTTGGAACATGTGTGAAGTCTGGTGAGACACATATGTGACCCCTAGCATATGTATATGATTCTTAAGGAATTCTATGTGGTCCTTATGGACATTATTATATGGCACTACGGTGCAATTCTACGCGGCACTTCGGTGCATTTATACGAGCTGTGGTGACAGCATAGTGCACAACCTCACATTACTCAGATACCTTAGGTTCTCAATATAATATCATGGGCCAATAAACTTATTAATACAGATTCATGAATGTTAAAGTCATACGCTTACAGGTATGGATATTGATGATGTAGACTACATTGATTAAGTACATATTTGCATCTCATTTCATATGATTATGACATTTTCATTACATTGCCTTGTTATTATTATTACATTGGCTCACTAAGTCGATGACTTAGCGTGTGAGTGTTTCACACGTAGGATCTGAGAAAGTAGACGAGACAGGTGAAGCAGCTTGACAGCATTACTTCTGCAACCACCAGATCAGAAGCAACTTAATCAGTAGGTCATTTTTTTATGTAAATGGCAGTTGGCATGTAATTAAAGAGTTAAGTTGTGTATGCTCTGAATATTTTGGTAAACTTATATTACAATATGTATATTATCGTATTTTCTTAATATAAGTTCAAATATTTTGTTATTATTGGTTAAGAGTTGTGTTTTAAAAGTCAATGTAATATCTCTGACTCATATCCGGGTCAAGTACGGGTTGGGGGTGTTACATTTAATGGTATCAGAGCTATGGTTTAGCCGATTCTAGGCATGAACCAGAGTCTATAGAGTCTTTAAATGGAATACATGCCAACAAATAGTGAGAACTTCTGATCTGGTATAGTATGAGTATGCTGTTTTGCTAATAGAACAATGTGCTTATTCTTATTAGATGTCCAGACATAATAGCTCCCGAAGTGAAGCGGGAGAAGATAGGCATGCTGAAAGCAGTAATTCACCTGCCCTGGCCAGGCAAGGTGAAGAACAGGCATCTCAAGGAGTGCCTGTGCAAGATCAAGATACGTTCTTCAGAACGTTAGACGCTATTCTGACGCTTCTTTAACCTTCTACTCCACTAACTCAAAGAATAAATGTAGCAAAAGAGTTGAGAGGTTTAGGAGCTCCCGAATTTAAGGGAGAAGCTGAGGAAGGTCCAGTGTCAGCGGATCTTTGGTTGAATGATTTGAAAATCATGTTAGATGGTCTCCACTGTTCCGAAGTGGAGAAATTAGATGGAGATGTGTCTTTATTGAGGGGTCAGGCGAGGATATGGTGGACGAACGTCACCATTAGGATGTCAACCGACCAGTTGACTTGGTCTTTGTTTTTAGAAGAATTTAAAAACAAGTATATTGGAGATCAGTTTATCCGACAAATGAAGCAGGAGTTTATGAATTTGAAGCAGATGAGCCGCTCTGTATATGAGTACGAATGTGAGTTTAATAAGCTGAGCAGGTTTGCAGCTGAGCTTGTGCCTACTGAAAAAGATGCTTGCGAATGGTTTGTGGAGGGCTTGCGCCCTAGACTTAAAGAATTGTTGATAGTATTAAACTTGTCCTCGTTCTAGGAGGTGATTAATCGTGCAAAAGCTCTTGAAAGGGCTCAGAATGAAAGATTTAGGGACTCAAGAGTTCAGACATCAAAGAGGACGACTACTTCTTCTAGCTCAGTACCATCAAAAAGGGGAAGAGACTCGGGATTTCGATCACAAGCTAGATCAGAATCAGTTGCATCGTCTGCTAAGGGAGCAAGTCAGGCAAGACCTAGACAGACGCAGTCAGTGAAATCTGGTGCTAGGAGATCTACTCCGAGTCAAGGGAGACAGTGTCAGCACTGTGGGAAAAACCATTATGGGGCTTGTCGTATGGCTGTTGGGACTTGTTTTCGATGCGGAGATGCCAGACATTTTATCAGGGATTGTCCATTGATTGTTGTTGAGCCTGCACCATCTGGAAGAGTTGGTTCTTCCTCACAAAGAGGACGAGGAAGAGGCAGAGGAAGGAACCCGTCTGAATTCTCTGCTCAACCTGAAGTTCGATCCACTGCTCGGGTATACAATCTAAAGACAAGTGAAGACCGTGATGACCCTGATATTATAGCAGGTACTTTTCAGTTGTATGATAAATTAGTATTGGTGCTGATTGATCCGGGTTCTAATTATTCTTATATTACAAGTAAGTTAGTAAAGGAGTTGAGGATTCCTATAGAAGCTACGAGTAATGTGATGATAGTAACTAATCCGTTAGGGCATAGTACTCAGGTGGACAAAGTCTGTAAGGGGTGTCCCATAAAGGTTAAGGGAATTGAATTCCCTGCTAATCTGATGGAATTACCCTTTGACGAGTTTGAAGTGATTCTGGGAATGGATTGGTTGTTTCATTATTATGGGAATGTCGACTGTAGATTGAAAAAGGTAACCCTGAAGAGTCCAGAAGGAATAGAAGTTAATGTGATCAGTGAAATGTGTAATCCTTTAGCAAATGTAATATCAGTGATGTCTGCCAAGAAATTATTGCTACAAGGATGTCAGGGTTTTCTTGCAAATGTGATTGATTCAAGAGCTCAAGAGAAAAGGTTAGAGGAGATTCCAATAGTTCGAGAGTTCCCTGATGTTTTTCCTGCTGAATTGCCAGGATTACCTCCGGATAGAGAGGTAGAATTTCAAATTGAAGTAATGCCAGGAACCGCTCCAATTGCAATGTCACCTTATAGAATGGCTCCAAAAGAATTGCAAGAGTTAAAGAATCAATTACAAGAGTTGCTAGAGAAGGGATTTATCCGACCAAGTGTATCGCCTTGGGGAGCTCCGGTGTTATTTGTTAAAAAGAAGGATGGATCAATGAGTCTTTGCATTGATTATCGACAGCTCAATAAGGTGACAATCAAGAATAAGTATCCCCTTCCACGTATTGACGATTTGTTTGATCA